TAATTTTACTTCTTTCTGATTTGGATACCTTTTATTTCTTTTTCTTATCTGGTTGTTGTTTCTAGTACTTCCAGTATTATATTGAATAGAAGTAATGAGGGTGGGCATCCTAGCCTTGTATCAGATCTTATAGGAAAACCTTTCAGTTTTTACCCACTGATTATAATGTTAGCTGTGGGTTTTACATAAATGGCCCTTATTGTATTGAGGAAATTTCCTTTTATACCTATTTTACTGACAGTTTTTATTATGAATGGATGCTGATCTTTGTCAAATACTTTTTCTGCATCTGAGAATATGATTTTTATGTTTCATTCTGTTAATGTGGTATATCACACTGATTGGTTTGTGTATGTTAAGCCAAACTGCACCCTAGGGATGAATCCCACTTGGTCATGGTGTATAATCTTTTAGATGATGTTGTTGAATAAAAGTTTGCTGGTTTTTTACTGAGGGTTTTTGCATCTATGTCCATCAGAGATAGTGGCCTGTAGTTTTGTTTTCTCATGGTGTCTTCTTTTGGGTTTGGTATTAGGGCAACGCTGGTCTCATAAAATGAGTTTGAAAGTAACCTCTCTACTTTTATTTTTTTGAAGAACTTAAGAAGGATTGGCATTCATTCTTCTTTGAATGTTTGACAGAATTCAACTATGAAGCCATCCAGTCTTGGAATTTTCTTTGTTGGGAGGTTTCTGATTACTATTCAATCTCCTTTTTTGTTATTAATCTGTTCAGGCTTTCAATTTCTCCTTGATTCAGTCTTGGTAAATTGTATGTTCCTAGGAATTTATCCATTTATTCAAGGTTATTCAGTTTATTTGCAGGCAATTGTTCATACTAGTCCCTTATCATCCTTTTTATGAACTGCTAAAATATATTCTCTTTCATTTCTGATTTTGAGTCTTCTTTTTTTCTTAGACAAGCTAAGGGGTTGCCAATTTTGCTTATTTTTTAAACAAATGAACTCTTAGTTTTGTTGATTCTTTTCCTATTCTCAATTTGATTTGTACTCTGATCTTTATTATCTCCTTCCTTTTACTAATTTTGGGGTTAGTTTGCTTTTCTTCTTTAGATCTTTGAGGCATAAAGTTAGATTGTGTATTTAAGACCTTTTCTTTTTTAAATGTAGGCATTTATCTCCAGAAACTTCCCTTAGTATTGCTTTTCCTGCACCCTGTAAGTTTTCATAATTTATGTTTTTGTTTTCATTTGTTTTGGGACATCTTTTAAGTTCCCTTTTGATTTCCTCTTTGACTGAGGAATTGTTCAAAAATGCATTACTTAGTTTCCACATTTTTGTGAATCTTCCCACTTTCTTGTTTGTATTGATTTCTAGTTTCATTCCACTGTGGTAAGAAAAGATACATCATAAAATTTCCATTTTCTTAAATTTGTTAAGACTTGTTTTGTGATCTAACATATGATTTACCATAGAAAATGTTCTACATGAACTTAAGAAGAATGTATATTCTTCTGCTGTTGGGTAATGAGGTCTGTATATATCTGTAAGGTCCACTTGGTCTATAGAGTTGCTCAAGTCCACTGTTTTTTTATCAACCTTTGTATTTGGATGTTCTGTCCATTATTGAGTAGGGGGTGTTAAGGTCTCCTACTATTATTGTATTATTGTCAATTTTTCTTTTCAGACCTGTTAATATTTGTTTTATACACTTAGGTGCTCTGATGTTGGGTATGTATATATTTAGAAGCATTGTATCCTTCTGTTGACATTCTCATCGTTATGTAGTGATCTTCTTTGCCTCTAGACAGTTTTTGACTTAAAGTTTACTTTGCCAATGAGTTTCATACTTTATACTTTCATACTGCTGTTTAGTGTCCTTTAATTTCTACCTGAAAAATTCCTTTTTGGCCTATTAAGGAACAAACAGAGCTAATTGCAGAAGAATTCTTTTAAAAGGCAACCATGGCCTGAGATTCAAAAGAATTTATTTCAATTTACTCCTCAAAGAAAATGTGACCAAACTAATTCAGTAATATTGAATGTATTTAATTAAAGAAAAATTAAGAATAAAAATTGAGGAGCTTGAGTATGGTGCAGTATAAAGCACTAGAGAAGCAGGCTGGAATTAGAAGGAAAATGGCCCTTTTGCCTGCATCAGCAGTTTGTATATCCCCCCCTTAAGCTCACTACCACATTGGCTAACACCAGAGCTTACTGGTGGCGGCTCTTGCACATCCCCCACCTGCTCCTCTACACTCAGAAGAGAGCACTAAAGTTTGGGTGCTCAGCACTGCCCTATTCAAGCACAACATGGCAGCTGCTGGAACATCATAGTAGTGAACCAAGGCCTAGCATCCATCCACTCTCAAGTGCATTTGGATAAGGGAGGAGCTGTTCCACTACTTATCAGTAGTAATTTCTTACAGTGGTAAACAAATAGAAAAACAGGTCTGAGCTCTGCAGAGGAGAAAAAATTTTCACAGTGGCATAAGGGTCATTGTGGGGCCTGAGGTGGTATTATGGGTTGAAATTGTGTCCCCAGAAAAAGATATGTTGAAGTCCCAAACCCAGTACCTCAGAATGTGACCTTACTTGGAAATAGGATCTTTAACAGAGGTAGGCGACTTAAAATGAGGTCATTAGGGTAGGCCTTAGTCCAGTATGACTGGCGTCCTTACACAAAGAGGAAATTTGGACACAGAAGGAAGACAATGTGAAGACATACAGGGAGAAGACAGCCATGTGCCTGGACTGACTCATCTATAAGCCAAGGAATGCCATGGATTGCTGACAACCAGCAGAAGCTAGAAGAGGCAAGAAACAATTCTCCCCTAGAGCTGTCAGAGGGAGCATGGACCTGCTGACACCTGCTTTCAGACTTACAGCCTTAAGAGCTGTGAGAGAACATATTTCTGTTGTCTTAAGTCATCTAGTTTAACAACGCTAGGAAACTAACACAGGTGGGGAAACAGCAGAGGATGTATGAGCGATCCCAGCTCCTTTATTCCTGAAATGATCCAGAAAACATACCAGAGCTTCTTTATCTATGCACACTCTGCTTGCTTCACTTACCCATAGGCTGTAGGGATTTTCCACTGTTCACATCTTCAGAGCAACCTCACTTACTCTGGGTCCCTGGCCACTCACCCTGATCCCATTCTTACCTGTCCACTGGCTCCACACATTATCTCCATCATCCTGAATATCACTTTGACTGATGCTTCCTGTAGAAGCAGGATATTATGTGTCCTATGTTCTATTTGGTAAAATTCTATGTCCACATCTATCATTTTGTAAGGCTGGAGTTTCCTCAGGCAACTTTCTTCACCACTGCCAGCAAATGGAATTCCTCATTAGATCCTCATGAGCAGCTGCTTATGAAAGGAATTCTGGGCCAACAGGAGGGAGGAAAATTCTGCAAATGCAGATGTTGAAGGTTGATTCTACACAGAAAAAGTAATTTAGAAGAATATCTCAAAAGCTAGGGATGGAAAAACACACATGAAAAAATAATCCTCTTCTGTAGCTAGTAATCATAAAAAATAGTAGGCACCAACTACACTGATTGTTTTCTTTCCCCAAACCAGCTCTTCTGGGCTTTCTGAAAATACCTGAGAAATGGTATTGTGTTCTCCTGATCAGCTAGTCTTAGAGCTGGAGTGCACTGCCTGGGGTACAAACTTTGAGGAGGTGCTAACACTCATGGTCGGCCTTGGTCTTGAAACCCCACATCTAGTCAATCCCCAGCTCCAATCTTGCCTCCCACCATGTCATCTCTCTCAGCTGCTCCTCAGCACATCGTGGGCAACTGGCATGTTGGGCTCATGCAAAGAATCAGGGGCAGGAGAACATCTACCCTCTGTTCTCATGTAGCTGCTTCAGCAGAGGCCTAGTCACTGGTCACCTGTGTGCTATTAGTTATATTACAGTTGTCTCCTGTATTCTACTCTCCAGCCTCATGCATGCTCTGTGCATTTATGTGACTCTGAGGTCTAAAGAATAAAACTCAAACTCTTTAGCATTTAAGTTTCTTAGTATCGTCTTGAGCTACCCTGTCAGATTCACCTGGCACTTCATTCCCACCCTAAGTACCTAAGAACCCAATTCAGCTTATTACTTGCCATCCTCTGTAGATGTCAGGCATGTCCATGTCTCAGCACCTTAGTTCATAGTCTTTCTTCATTCATGAAACTTCTCTGTCTGGAAAAAGCCAGATCAGGACCCAGCTCCAGAGTTTATCTCCCCTGAGAATCCTTCTCTGTTTCTCTAGTCTTGTATCACAGATTTTATTTCATGCTGCCTTTTCTGTAGCTAGCATTTCCACATAGCCACCTTCCATCTCTCTAATTTGGGCTGTTGGCCAGGGCCCACTTGCACTTGCCATTGTCCCACTGCTTTGCACAGAAGCTAACTCTATAAGTACTGAAGCCAAGTATAAAACTGGTCAAAGGTACCTTTGTAAATTGCTAGTCCTTTTTTCTCCCTCTACTTTTATTTCTCCCACTGTTACTATTTTCATCTACATCCACCTCATCATCTTGACTTTTGACCCCAGTGGTGAAATAAAATATGCAATCGGATTTTTATAAAAAGTAGCGAGCAATTGTTAGAAGACTTATCTTGGTGATGGCAGGAATTGTCATCTCTCTTATTCACAGTCCTGTTCTCAGAGCTCAGCACACAGTAGGTGCTCAACAAATAATTACCAAAGAGTGAGTTCAAAGCAGTTCTAATTGTTTCATGCCAGTGTTATGTTACATATTACTATAAGAGGTTTATGGAAGGATTTATATCATTTTTAAGGTTTTTAAAAAACTATTTAAAATATCTGCATCAACTCCACAGAATACAATATAAAGAGTGTTTTCCAGTTTTACTTCTCTTCAGTGGTTTCTATTAATAACCCAAAGGAGCCTTAAAGCTGGGGTTGGACCATGTGGTCCTGCAGACAAGTAAAGAGCATTTGCACTCATCCTTCCCAGTGTGTCTTCAGGAGATTTTGCATTTTCTGGTGAGACCACGAGAACAGAGGAAGACGTTTCTACTTTTAGTAACATTTATTTATGCATTCAGTATCAAGTACATAAGTGCAAATATCCAGAGTCCATAGTTAAGTCCATTAGGAACTACAGAGAAGGTAATACAAATTGTAATAAAGTTAACATGCTGGTACTTTTTAGTTACCATACATGTGGATCGGCCCATCAGTACCACACAACCAAAGTACTGCCTGTTTGTTTGGGGTTTATTCATTTATTTAATTACTTTCAGTTATACAAAACTGACAACCATAAGTATGGACAGCTGTTCTTATTTTTATGTTGTATGCGTTGGAAAAACACTAAAACGTTAGTCTACAATTCTATCTATTGTTATTAAAGATTAATCCAACCAGCAACCCAGGGACATAGAAGCGGTTTCCACTATCGCATCAGTGCACTGGGCAGGAAAGGCGTAGCCACAGGGGAAGTCAGAAGCTACAGAGCATTGCAGAGAGAGGGGGAGGACACGGGGGAGGACAGGGAATGGGCTCTCACCATCATGCACTTTTTTTTAGTAACACGAAATTAAAAACCACATCTAATACACTTTTCTCTATACTTTAGTGCTTGACACAAGTGACTCAAATACCCTAAGAGTACAGGAACAGCCTAAAAACAGCTGTTTTAACATTTGTTTCTAAGATTATGGTACTGGGGGAGAAACGATTTGCAGTAACATGTAAGAACAGAGCTGTTACCACTCCAGACATTCCTGTTTGTGTCCAGTGCCCGGTGGGACTTCGGTTTACTCAGCATGCCTTTTAGCGCCTGGGATTTTAGCCTGAATCCTAAAGAGACAATATCAAAAGGTAGTAAATCACAAGTGTTATTAATGAAATCATCTTATGAGTTCTTTCTGTGTGGTTGATTTAATTAGCGAAGTGACCAAATACCTTAATATTCCAAAAGATGATGATAAAGTTGGAGTGTCTATAAACACATTTCTATACAGCAATGAGAAGTGTAAATTAGATAATGAATGGTCTAAGAAAGCTGTAATCCTTAAATTTTAACTTTTTAGGTAGACAAAGATGTTGACTTATTTCATGATTGTAGAAGCTCTGATTTAGTTAGGGTTATCACTTATCACCCAATCTGAGGCACTTCAGGAAGAGAAAGAGGGCTAACTATCCAGGACAGAAGGCATTAGTAGGAATGGTTCCAGGTAAGGAAACTACGGTCACTGTTGGCATAGTCAAACCACTCAGAACTGGAATTAAGAAACCTGAGTCCTAGTGCCAGTTCTACCACTAATTAGCCAGTTAATAAGCTTTCCTGGTCCTGGAGAACCCACCTTTAAAGTGTGGGTATAGGCTAGATATTTCCAGGGCTCCTAAAATTCTGTGATTCTCACAGTATGGCAGCATTACTTAGGGTGGATTTATACTGGAAGCATTTTGTTTTGTTAAAACAGCATTAGGAGCTCATTATGCAGATTTTGATTGAGAGCCTCCTCTCAACCCTTCCAAATGCTGGAATTCAGTGATGAACAAGGGAAAGAAGATGCTTTTTCTCGCAGTGGCCATTCTCACTTTGTCTGAGAAGCCAGAAATAACAAGCAGAACAAACAAGAGGAGTCCAGATGGTGATAAATGCTGTGAAACAAAATAAGACAAGGTGGTATGATAGGAAGTGAGGGGGCAGTGGGGTAAGGTGGGTGGTGCCACTTCAGATCCACTGATCTGAGAAACAGATGCTCCCAGGGCAGGGCAGGGCCACCAGGCAAAGACCTGGGTGTGAAGCGTTTCAGGCAGAAGAAGCTGCGGGTGCAGAGGCCCTGCAGCGAGGACCTCTTAGGGGGTGGGGGGACTTGGTGCTGTTGTGCTTGAGGAGTGGGCAGGGGAGGTCTGAGAAGCATACAGGAGCAAGGTGGTGTCAGAACCTGTGGGCAATGGTAAGGAATAGATCCTAATCTATGTGACGGGAGGCCAATGAAAAATTTTAGTTAGGGGAGTGATGTGATCTGACTCATGTTTACTAAGATCATACAGTGGTGGTGTGAAAAAATGGGGAAATGGGGGTGGGAAACCTGTAGCAGTCCAAGTGCCAGATGGCAGTGACCTGGGCCACATAGCGGGAGTGAGATGGAGAGAAAGGAACAGTCTGGATCTAGTTTGGAGATGGAGCTGCAGGACCTGCCTGAAGGGCTGATGGATGGAATGTGTGGGAAAGGGGAAAAGGAAAAGTGACAAGGAAAATTCTTTGGTTTTTCCCCTGAGCAACCAGATGAATGATGATGCCATTGACTGAGATGGCAATGACTGAAGGAGAAACAAGTTCTGGGTGGAACTGTAAGATCTGTTTGGCCATGCTGAATCTGAAATGTCTACGAACCATTTACAGAACATATCAGAAAAGCAGATGAACAGACCTGGCACCTGGGAGATCTTCTGATTTAGATTTTATACTTCTAGTAATAACATTGAGACTTGCGTTGACTTAAAAAAAAAATGTCTCAGCACATTGTTGATTTGTATTTGGCTGTGACAAATCAATCAGTTAAACTCCCCCAGGTATTTTTTATAGACATTGCTGTTACATCCGATTTCATCTTCCCCTCTTTCCATTCTATATTTATGAGGTTGACATTTTAAAAACCTAAACGTGTGTGTCTGGAGTCCTTGGCATAAAGATAACCTTAGAAGTCACAAGATCGGATGATTGGTGGGACAGAGGAAAAAGAGGCAAGAGAAAACACTGGGGAAAGCAGCCACGGCCCGGGCAGTGTCGCGAGAGCCAGGAAGAGTGTTTAGTGGAGACAGCAGTGGTCACAAAGGGGGTTCTGAGAGGCTGAGTGGTGACTTATCAACATGGAGGTCACTGTGACCCTGAGAAGGAGCACCTTCGCTGCTCAAGGTGAGGGTCTGACTGAAGTAAGCTGGGAGAAAACAGGAAGAGAGGAAATGGAGGCAGCAGAAACAGGAGACTGGAGACTGATTGTGGAAATAAGCCAGTAGCCTCCTAGCTGTTCTCCACATCTCCATTCTCCTCTCCAGTTCTCCTCCCACTAGCCTGTCATAATGATCTGTGCAAAACGCAGGTCTGATGACCTCGATCCCCTGCATAAAAACATCAAGGGATGGCCATTTCCTGTTGGAGCAGAGTCGTAATTCCTTAAAGCACTTAACACTTGACCTCAGCCTCACTTCCTAGATTTTTTTTAGCTGATTTTTACACTCTGATACTTTAGATACACTGGCTGACTCAACTGCCTCCTGAACATGACCTACATTTTCATGCTTCCACCTCTGCTTATATTATATCTTCTTGCAATGTCTTTCCCCTCATCACCTACCTGATGAACATTTACTCATCCTTCACGGCTGCTATAGACAGTCTGTTTATGTCCCTTCCAAATTCATAGTCCACACCTAATCCTCAATGCGTTGGTATTAGGAGGTGGGGCCTTTGGGAGGTGATAGGTCATGAGGGTGGAGCCCTCATGAATGGATAGGTGTCCTATAGAGGAGACCACAGAGAGCTCCCTTCCGCTTCTGCCATGAGAGGACACGGAAGTCTGCAACCTGGGAAGGGTTCTCATCAGAACTCAACCATGTGAGCACCCTGACCTCAGACTTCCACCCTTCAGAGCTGTGAGGAAGAAATTTCTGTTGTTTACAGCCACCCAGTCTATGGTACTGATATAGGGGCCCAAGCTGACTAAGACAAAGGCCCTTATTTTCACAGCTTTCCACTATCCCCTCCAGGCTGGAACAGTTGTTTCCTTGTCTCTCTGACTTTAATGTTTGATACAACTCTATGGTAGTTCTCACATCATCTAGTTATTTCTTTATAATTTCATCCGCACTGACAGGTGAGAACTCTGCCAGGGCAGAGATCATTGCATTCATGTTTACCCCTCTGGGCCTGCGTCAAGCAGAACCTGGGACATAACAGGTATGTCTTCTCTTGGAACCAACTAATCTATCAACCAAATACAAAATGAATACATGTGATTTGTTTAGGATCCCCAAATTAAGTATCTGACAACTTAGGACTAGAACTTTTATCTTCTAGTTTCCAAGCTTCTAGAGATCTTTGCTGTAGTTCCCAAACACAGTTTTAACTGGCAAAAGTCACCTGGGGATTTCACTAAAGTATAGATTCCAGGTCCCCAAACCTAGAAATTCTAATTCTCCAAGTCTGTTGTAAGAATCTGGGTATTAGTATTTCTAACTGGTTCCCCAGGTTTTGGCAACACCAAGTTTCATACTATACTATGCTGACATTTCTTAATACAAAATAATGAGTATCAATCCTCAATTTGCTTATTTTCATTAGGTATTGGTTACATCTAGGACTAACCTGATAATTTCAGGCATTTTGAAATGTGCTGTACATCTGATACAGATCCAAATTCACCATGAATTAAAGAGGATGAATATAAACAGCACACAGTAAAAACCAAAAATATTTATGTACTTCAGGAGAGAACTGTAACTGATGATATGGAGATTAAATACCAGAAGAACTTTAAAGTGGTTGACTTTTCTTATTTGTGTCTCATTTTTTACCTCTTTGACTATCTAAAATCCTTCCCTTTAATTCTGACCATCACGTAGGTCCAGCTGCATGAGTCTAAAATTACTAAATGGAGCTCATGTTGACAGGATTTAGTTCTTCTGTGACAAGTATTTGTAAGTGAAGCCCAGCTCAACATTTGATTAAGACAAAATTTTTAATAATAATGACAATGTAAAAACTATCATTTCAGATGGAGACATATCTAAAAATATTAAACTAAGTTTAAGATCATGATAGCTGTGGGTACTTAAAACTGGAATCTTTATCTCCTAATATGGAAATAGCCATAAAGCAGAGTCTATTTAAGATTCAAAAAGCAATGGTGATAATTAAGTAAGCAAGCACAGCATACTTGTTGAGTTGAAATGATGTAACTTAAAATGTCACAGAAGTTTTTAGGATTTTAAAAAATTTCTGAAGCTTTAGAAATAATTTCAATGGTTTACAAAATCAGTGATATTTATTGTTTAAAAGATTGAAAATGTTTGCTAACTTAATCACTTTTATTTCAACTAAACTGTTTTAAATTTTTCTTTTCTGAATCAGGCTTCCTTCTTTTCTACAACCCATCTCGTTCTTGGGCATGAGTGAGTTTCCAGACAGACCTTCGTATCACTCATACATTAAACCTCATTCATTATGATACTGGAAATAAACCAGTGAAAGTTCTGTTTGAGTTTTAAAATGTATACTTATTTTCTGGAATAATCTCATTGGGAAGGCTATGAATATATGACCTAAATAAGTGAATGGTCATAAGTCAACCTATTATTTTATTATCTTTTTATCACGCCTACCTAATCCACTTAAATGCCTGCCTAAGACAGTCTCTCCTTTTTATAGATTGCAATATGTGACTTACTTTGCCACAACAGCATTTATATGAGTCCTCACAAGTCCCAGATATTGGTCAATCTGTGCCTATAAAGAGAAAGAAATCATGAGCACATCCAATGGTCATGAGGTCAAGATTTAACATGAATGTTTGACACCACATAGAACTTACCTGGTGCTTAACATACACTACAGGTAGAGTAAACATTGAAACCACAGCTGGGATGAAAAACAAATATAGTATTAAAATTCTGAGCATAATCAGTGACAATAAGCTTATAGATACATTTTTATGTAGTTATATGATATTATAGCATTATTTCTAATAGCCAGCATTCTTGACAAAAGATGGCAAGGCAGTTCATAAGGAGAACAAAGTGATGCTAAGCCCTTTACAGATATTAAGTCATTATTCCTGGAATAAGGGTGAACTTACCCCTTCTAAAATGTAAATGAATTTCTGCCCATAACTGTTACTGTAAACAGATATAGATAAGAAGCCAAATAAAATCATTTGTGGCTGAAAACTTCAGATTAAGAAATTTATTATTAATGTGTAATACCTATTATACTCTTTAATTGAACTATGATGGTCAGGAAATGTGCTACACTTATGGATGCCTGGCATTTGTTCCTAGAAATCTATGAAAAAAAGCTAACAGCTAACAGCTAACAGCCTAGAAAGCTTTATACTCATGAGTATGAGAAGGAAGACATAACACTCATTTGTACTTGCCCATGAGCAGCAGGGTCAGGCCATTGAAGAGGGCGCCAACGTAAGTCAGGAGCCACATCAGAACTGCAAACTGAAGAATAAAATACTTATTACAACTTCTAAATCCATCTGTGACAAATAATGTCATTTCACTGACATTTTTTTAGATTAAAATTTGAAGCAAAATACATCAAGGTTTTAAAAGAGCATTTAAACCTCATCACAGAATTACTGGCAGAGGATGCAGGCTTTACTTCTCTTAGAACTTGCTTGGATCTCTCTGTTGGAAGACTTAAGGGACTCAGTGAAATAATACTCTATGGCACAGGTCAGCAAACTATGGCCCCTGGCTTGTTTTCGTATGGGCCCATGAGTTAAGAATGGATTTTACATTTTTAAATGGTCAGATAGAATCAAAACAAAAATAACATTTTGTGATACATGAAATCGACATGAATTCAATTTTCAGCATTCATAGTAGCTTTACTGGCACACAGCCAGCCATTTATTAGCTATTGTCTTTGGCTGCTTCCCTGCTTACCATGGCAAAGCTGAGTAGCTGTAACAGAGATTGTGTGGCTTGCAAAATCTAAAAAAATATTTACTATAAGGCCTTCTACAGTTCAGTTTGCCAACCCCTGTTGTAGCCCACAATTTTTAATTACAAATATAAACAGAATTGTCACTGTAAACACCCTAGGGTAAGTAATTACAGTCTGTCTGGTACCTCACTTTAGTCATTACTTGTCAAGATATTATTCCAGGGAAGCATCTTGAGGGTCAAGGCCACATCACTCCCTTTTCCTTCTGCCCTGCCTGGAACAGTCACTGGGCAGCCCCTGGCACAAGGCCTCTCCCTGGTGCGCACAAAGTGCCCTGGGGACACAGGAAATGCAGCAGCCTCACTCAGGCCCTGCCGAACCATGATTGCTTGACTTCAGTTTTACATGCATACCCCAGGGTGAAAGCTGCTTATTCAAAGAAACCTGGTGAGTTCAATGGGAGCCCTGAGAGAAAACCCAGGTGCTGAGGTCCTCTCCCTTTAGAAGGCTCTGCCTCATAGCTCATATTTGGACATATCACTGTTAACAGAGTCCAGAGTTTCTCTCAGTGAAAAAGCTTATGTTTTTCACATTCCCCAGACTATGTTTTTTATTTTAAAATTAAGAAATTGGCTGAGGAATTGAAAATGGTAGGAGAAACAATCTGATGTGTTGTAAGAAGTATAGAAGTGGAAGCTGTGTGACCTGGGTTTGATCCCAGCTAGGCCAGAGACTTACTCGGCAACCTCAGGAAAGTGCCTTACCCTCTCTGAGCCATAGTTTCAGTATCTGTGAAATAAGGGCATTAAAGTGGATGAGCTCTGGGTTACCATACAGCTAGCGGTTTTTGGACTCTAGATATAATTAGCATTTGCTTTCCATTCTCCCTAATTTGCTGGTTTATATTATACCTTTAGGGAAAACCAAATTCAAGACTGTGAAGTGAATGGCTTGAGCAATCATACTTTTAAGGAATCCACCAGGTCCTGGACAAGGAAGAGCCTCCTCAGTTCTTTAAGCGTGTTGTTCACATAGAACTGCAGACAGTCGGTGTACTTCTGAATCTGCTCCTGAGAAAGGGTGATCTCCAGCTCCAAGTAGGCCCTGTCGACAGACCATCCCCACAGAGATCTCCATCAAAGGGAATTACAGAACAGCACAGTTTTCCTTTTCCCACTCTGAGAATGACAGCTGGGTCATCTCTGGGGACTTTATACCAGCCAGTGGGCTGCAGGGCACCACACCCACCTGCTTCCAGTACGCCAGAGAGCCCAGTAATCATGGCTCTGGGAGGCGTGCTGTGACGATTTCTTTCTCCCAAAGACAGCACTCTAGTGTGAGCTGATTAATTCAGAGCAGCTGGCTGGCACCAGAGAACCATCCAAAATCAATTCATTCACTGAATTCTCCATACATTACATCGTGTCCCACCAGGTAATTGTGAAAGTCCTCATTTCTTGATTGCATGGAGATGAATTATATTTTAAATAATTGGGGTAAAAAAATCCTAGCTGCCAACTATCATTTGTCACCCAAACTTTACTATTTCATGTTTAAATTATGGAAAATAATTCCAGGTTTTATCCAGGGAGTTCTGAAAACTCAAGTGACCTGCCATATTAAAATGCTTATTGGTTCTAGTAAGAGCAAGACTTTTAGTAACTGCATTTTTCATTGTTCAAACTGTCAAATGTAACTCTTGGTTAGGTAAACCACCAGGCTTCTCAAATAGTTCTTCCTCCTGTTGCGGGCTGGTCCCCACAGGGAGCTGGTCCTTCCTCCCTCCTTCCTTCCCTCCACTCTGTTTTAAGACAGGGCCAGGTTGTCTACTCAGAGGATATTTCTGGAGTTCTTACAGAATTTAGGTGCTTACCTATCTCTGGGAATTGAGATGAAAAGAGTAAAGCAGCCTTTGGCTTGAGTTTCAGGCAGTTTATGTTGAAATGTTATGGCTTTCCTCCTACTTAGAAATAAGTAAAAAAAATACTGATTTGTCTAGATAGTATGTTTTGATTCAAAATTTACTCTGAGTCAGATATTTCTTCTACTGATAATAACATCTCAGCCAAAGGAAAGTTTGATATTTTAAATTTGTCTCCTAAAGAAAGATAAAGTAGTTGAGCCAACTGTAGTCAGATCCTTGGTCCTGTACTGGTATTGGAAAAAATAAGTCAAATGAGAGACAAGTCCCCTGTAACATGACACCCTTGGGAGCCAAGGATATGGGAGAAACCAGCCCTGTATGGAGGGCTGGGGGCAGGGGCTGGGGCAGGATGGGGACCTAAAGGACTACGGCAGCAGGTGGGCCCACTGAAGTAGGCACATATATACCCTGGTGAGATAACCCTCCACTTGTCTGCTTCCTGGCTAGGGAACTTCTGCAGCCACGCCAGAGCCCAGCAGCCCCATTAACTGTGCATTATAAGAAGGCCAAATGCATCTCACAAGCAAGAATGCTCAGACTGGAACTGTGTCTGACTCTGAGGCCAGGAGCCAGAGCCTAGGCAGGGAGGTCTGATGCCCAGCCCTTTCCCTTTTGTTAGTAAGCCCCCAACACAGAGTTTTTTTCCCTTAAGAGTCTAGTACTCTGGGTCTTGATTCAGCTGGCTGGTGAGGGTGAACCACGGAGGAGGCAGAGCATCCCCAGTGAGCCTCTGATTTTCCTGCCCTAAACAGGGATTATACGTAATACCCTGCCTTCTTCACAGGGCTGTGGGAATTGATTATTGAGACACTCCTTAAATTATAAAACATTGCATACAGATAATGGATTATGATTACCATTAGTAATAATTACATATAAATATAAATATATGTAAATTTATATTCAGTATACATATTAAATATGTAATATGTAGTCAAAATATAAAAACTCAATAAAGCAATACATGTTCGAATAGAGATGATTGGGTTTGCTTTAGAAATTCCCCAGAAATGTTAGATATGAAAAGATAGGGTTAGAGATACTCTAAGAGATCTGTTAGGTCTTGGAGAAACATGACCCAAGTGCATGGGGGCTGAAATGAGGCAGAGGGAAAGAGCCAAGGGGGAGGCTGGGCAAGGGCTGATCCCGCTCGGACACTCACTTAAAAGGGTGGCCCTCGTCGGTTTTCTGCACAGCTTGTAAAACAGACTTGTAGATGCGGAAGCTGATGGTGGCCGAGAGCGCGGCAAGGGCCAGGTAGGCCACGACGCTCACCACGCTGAACTGGGTCAGGGAGAAGAGCAGCAGCAGGAAGCTCCCAAACACTATCCCCGTCTGCTTGATGTCCTGCCAGTACAGCAGGTCAATAGCTGTGGGGCGGACACAAAACACACACACACATGCCACTTAGCGCCGGCAGCGCCGCGGGGGAGCCACTGCCTTCCATGAAGCCCTGGTGGCTGCAGGGGCTCCCCGGGCCTTGGGACTCCTGAACACGAGTGAGCAGACACAGGGTTATGCCCAAGGCACTTGCTGTCATTCCATTTTGCTTTGGAAGACTCCTTTCCACCCTGAGGATAGTTCACAAATTCACAGATAAGAAAAGGCTGTCCAATCTCCGATGATGGTATCTCTGTGGACTTATCTTGTGGGGTCCACCATCTGTACAGTGGCCTAAATTACGTGACTTTGAAACAAAATTAAAAATACAGAGGACTCTGTGAAGTACCTGTCCTCTTTTCTGGATGGCTTTGTGTGCACCTTGATGCCTGCTGACAATTTTATGTCTCATTGGTGGCCTGTAGAAGTGTACATCAGTCATACAAGTGTCTCTGCTGCTGAGAAGGGGCAGTAACAGTGGCAACAGTGGCTCTGGAGAAACGGTGCTTCCCAAAGCATGGCGACAGGCCCAGGAGACACCAGGAAATGCCATAGGTTTCTGAATAAAGAGATGGCCTGCTTCTAAAACTAGCAAACCTGAAGGGATTAATAGCTGTCTCAAGAATCCATGGAGCTGATATCTGGATTACACCATTTTGTACAGCATGATTTGTTTGCTTACATGCTATAATTTAAAAATCTGAAATTTAGCTCTAAAATGTAGAACACATCTATCACTCAGTTATTCCCCTTTCAACTCAGAAATAAAACATTAATAAAGAATAAAGCCATGATGCTTCAAATATGATACAAATTGGAAATATTGAGTATTCCAGTCACTAGATTATGAAAAAGCATAAAAATATTCCTGAAGAATATTAATGCAAATTTAATATAAATGCAAATTTATTCTCCAATTAGGCAAGTAACAGTTTTTTCAATTAAGATATAATTGACATATTACATTGTGTAAGTTTAAGGGGTATAACATGTTGGTTGGATATATTTATATTGTGATATGATTACCACCATGGTTAACATCTGTCATATCACATACTTATTAGCTAACATCTCTATCATATCACACATACACTTATCATTTCTTTTTTGTGGTGAGAACATGCAAGATCTGGTCTCTTAGCAACTTTGAAGTTTATAACAAGGTATTGCTGACCGTATTTACTATGCTGTGCATTAGATCCAGAATTTATTCATCTTCTAATTTGCAAGTTTGTACCTTTGAACAACATCTCCCCAATTCCGAGCCCTTCATCCCCATAACCACCATTCCACTCAGTTTCTACAAACTTGGCTTCTTTAGTTTCCACATATAAGTGATATCATATAGTATTTGTCTTTCTCTGACTTACTTCACTTAATATAATGCCCTCAAGTTCCAACCCTGTTGTTGGAACAGTTTCTATAGAATGTTACGTCAATAAATTTTAAGAAAGACAGACATAAAGTTTCCATCTCATAAGCAAAAGAAAGTGGCAGTTGGTTACACTACCAGTTTCATGTGTAGTGTACTTGGAGACACCTGCTTTGCAGTAGTAGATACCAGTCACTTGCTCAAAGGAAAACAGAGGTGGCCAGGTTGAAGAGAGCAGGGAGCTGCTCCCATCACACACAGGTGTGTAACCAGCTGAGCATGCTAGAAAGGCCACACAGCCTAGTGGCAACCCTGATGCTGGGTAGAAGGGGTATACAGCATGCTGCAAAGAATTGGCACTCTGTAGCCGACTTACCTGGGCTGGCTGGAGAGTAAAGAAGGAACTTAAAAGTACAGGGGAAGGGGCTCTTTCATAAAGACTGAGGATGCCCCAGCAATCTGAAGCTGGAGGAGAATTTACTTGTGAGCTGATCTCTCATCTATTCCCACTTACTCACCTTTGCCCACTACCTGGGCCCAGCGACAATAACTTAAAAAGACTACAGGAGTAGCCATTTTGTTGGGCAAATATTTTTTCCCTTTCTCCTATACTTCTATGGCATAAGAAGTGGAGGAGATGATTACAGACATGTTTTGGGATAAAACAAAGATTTTGTTTTCTCTTTGAGTGGGGCAGTTCTACAAGTAGGTCTCCAGGGGTAAAGGAAAAGCATTGCTGCTCCAAAACCTCTCTTCTCCAAGCCCCAATCACCAGTCATATTGACTGACATTCCACTATTAGAAATTCATCCCTTTGGATTCATCCTTTTTATCTTCAAAGTATTTGTTGTCATCTTTTTTTAATGCAAAGATCCCAGAAGCAGATAATGCATTAAAGATTAGCTTGTCATTAACAAGGAAATTAAAATGAGTTCACCATGTGATTTTCAGTTTAGAATTCTTTGTTGAGAACAAAGCACCAAAGTGGTAATCCTTTTCAGGCAAAGACAGGGATCTTTTGGAAGACATGACAACAAAACCCTGGGCCCTGGGTAGATGACAGAAGTGGGAGAAGAGGGGATCTCCACGGAAGTCTAGCTGCTCCTGGGGTTGAAGGGATCTAGAGACAACAAATTGAGGTAAGCCTAGGCCTCTAGGACTAAAGTCCAGCAGGGTTAAAGGTCCCTGAGGAACTGGAGCCTCCTGGTATTTATTCTGTTTTGTGTAGGGCAGGGGATAAGGAGAATAAAAAGGAGACTAAAATACACCATTATCTGCAGTGTTCCTCTTCCATATTTGTTCATTTAGTCAGTATTTACTGGGCAAGGATAGGCACCAGGCTTTGTGCTAGGGATATCAAGATGAATGAATAGTTAAAAACAAAGAAAAACTACATGCAAATAAGTAAGTTGTAAACTTCTGTTTTATGACATCCACAGAGTCACGTGGCTGACACACTTAAAAACAAGTACATTATAACAGCATGATCTGTGCTAAAAGAGGTACTCCTTAGAGCTAGGGAAAGTAGGCTGACCCATCTCTGAGATGATGTGAAGGGGCACGGGAGACCCTGCAAGAGGTTTTCAGGCAAAGAGGAGACAGAATTTGCTATTTTCAAGTGAATACCCTTCCCTCCTTAACAAACTGTTTAACGCATTTTAAAAATGGTGTGCCCTCCAGAAAAGCCTGAATCTCTGGATACCTGTTTAAACAGCTGGAGAAAGGGCAGCCCATAGGTATGCGCTTTTCTTGAAGAAACTGTGGGCAGACAGCATTAGCTATTAACTAAGTAACTTAAGTTTGGTATTTAGTCATTACATAACAGGCCTTTTGATCAGCTTGCTAAGGTTGCTTAACACAGGAGGCTAACACAAGATTTACCTTAAACACATCAAATGGGATGTTGATTCTGGGTACTTTATGACATGATTATTTATATACATTCTGAAATGCTCAGTATGCTTTTAGATATTACACGATTTAAACCTCACAATAAACTCCATTAAGTAGGTATATTACAGGCAAGGAAACTAAAAAAGTTAAGAAACTTGTCTACTGACTAGTTAATACAAGCAAGATCAAACCCTAAGTTTGATGTTTTTTCCAAAACAAAACAGTTGCCTATCTTACATTAAATGCTTAGATATTAAATGTCCTCCAAAGTGTGCAAAATTAATTGGGGCAACCTGATTATATTTAAATCTGCTTCCAGGGCTAGACATTTAAAGTGAAATTTTTTAAGTGAAAATGAGTCATTATTGAGAGCAAGCAGAGTTTGGTCATCTATCCATCTAGTAAGTGCAAGAATAAAGAGCATGTGTTGTTCCTGCTTTTTAAGGAACCTACGATCTAGCTGGGAAGACTGGACATTCACTTGAAAAATGCTGAGTTAATGCCAATCCATCTTGTGTTGACAGAGGTGGCAAAAGTTGAATTCAAGGAAGTATAATACTGGAATTAGTGAAAGAGGACGTGGGATGGTGTGTGAATATGGCGAACAATTTGTTAAGAAGACGGGGTGGATAAAGGGAAATATTATGAAGGTTTAGTTGTTAAGAATGGTGACTCATTAGCTGTGGGAGAAAGGAGGAAGAGCCAATTAAAGGTGAAAGCAACAGTTCAAAGCTGGGTGACTGAGTGGTGAGCATCACTGACAAAAACAGGAAATGGGAGGATGTGCAAGTTTGGGGAAAAGCTGGCACTTGTGTTTAAATCTCCTGGTTCTGAGTGATGCCCTGAAAGCAGGGCATTTTGACATAGCCCAGGGCAGAGATGAGCTAGGGCCAGCAGGTGGGATGAGGCAGACAGTGACACACAATACTTGTTAACTGTTTCAAAGCTTGGAAAGTAAATGACTTGTTTTTCTAGGTTTTGTCATAGTAGCCCTGTTAAATGGCCAGGAATATCATATTCTAGTGACATGCAGATGAATATGTATGGTAGGCAACTGGAAATGCAGGGCTGAAATGTGGTAAAGAGGGCTGAATATTTATTTTTGGGTGTATTCTGAGTGGAAATGATTGAAGCCATGAGAGTGGAGGAAACCTTCAAGAGAGAAGAGACTAGGGGATGAAACCATAGTCTAAGATGCAAATGTGTAAGTGGAGCCACGGAAAGAGCCCTGTCAGAGGTTAGAACGGGCACCATGGCAGCGCAGGGTACGGGAGCCAAGAAGGAAACTTCCCAGAAGAAAGGAAGGATGCAGTGAGGAAGGATGCAGACAGAACAAAGGAAATCAGACCTGAGAAAGGGCCACTGGATTTGGAGCCTGGAAGGCTGCTCATAACTTGGTGGAGAGTGTTAGGGGTCTTGAGGAGGGAAGGCATATTGCAAAGGGTTGGGTAGGTGGTGGGAAGTTCCAAGTAATAAAGAGCTTAGTAAATAAACTGGTAGTTTGGGGAGTAGCAGAGAAAATAAACCTTCAGGTTGAGCAAAACCTAGGAATGTTAGGGGAAAGGTTGGAGTGAGGACTCTGGAAAGAGGAACCACCAATGCAGCCAAGTCCCAGAGATGGCAGGGATGGGAGTGCAATTAGTCATAGCTCTTTTCAAAGAAGGGCGAAGGATGAAAGGCTGGGTAGAGAGGGAGACATTTTGAGAAAGTACAGGCATAGCTGCG